TTAACCAGATAGTAGTTTTATGTCTCATATTAACCAGATAGTGGTTTTATACCTCATATCAACCAGCTGACAATCAGAAACCATTCTATGGGACGGGGAACCTGCTAACCGGCACAGGTGGGACCTTCTGAAGCCATTGTATGGGACTGATAACGCCTAATAACGTCCATTTCATGGATGATAACATCCGAAGCGGGTGGAAATTACGGAGGGGTCGAGTGGTTCCAGACCACTCACTTTTAAAAAAAAACACAGAAGCTTGTTTCTTCCAGAAAGTAATTTTAGAAAACTATACTTTTAAACAACATAAAGAAAATAAGGCATATTTACTATTTACATTAGCAAAACTATTTATTTATGATTTTCAAAAACTACAGTATGTTCCCCTACTTTTATCCTGACGGTGGTCTGGTCCATTGCACCTCTGACATGTGCCTGAAGGCTGGAACTAACATGACTATTTGGCTTTATGTCTAAATATTATTAACTTTCATTTAACCAGGCAAATCCTGTTCAGATCACAGATGTTTTTTGAAAAGGTCTGGACCTGAGGGCAACCTAACAGGAGTCAGTGTATATCATACAGTGTCTTCTTTAGTGGGGAGCCTTCATACCTCATGCCAGGGAGGGAGCTCTGTTATTATTCTACTCAAATCAACATACAGCTTTTTACATGGAAACAGTGATATTTTTAATGTTTGAATGGATCTCTGATAAGAAAGAACAATAAATCTTGTTTTTCATGAATGAATCAATCTGTCTGAAGAATATTTTTCTTTGATTTAGTGAAGTAATTTAAAGGACATTTGTCTTCTGCTTGTTAACGTATTTATTTAGAGCTTTAAGTTATTGTAAAACTGCTTTAGATTAGTGACAATTATTCAGTCGCCATAAAAAAGTATCAATCCAAGCCAAAGAGACAAACAACTGGTGCATGGCAGGTGGAGAAATATGTTTGTCACGTATGTGTTTTAGTTTCTGCACATGGACGACCTGACTACCTGTTATTTTCATTTCATTTTACAACAGTACATTTGACCGTACTTTGTGTGTCCCCCATAAAATTACTCTTGAGGTCGCCTCTGCCCCCCATTTCCTGACCTCCAGGAGGTGTAATTTCCTTCATTGCATACCTTAGTGATTGGAGCCTCAATGGTCATTGAATGAATCCTGGCGACAGATGAATATCTTCTGTTCTGTAAACTTGGAGCTGTGATTCAAATAAACAAACAAACAAACAAACAAACAAACAAACAAACATAAAAACAGTTATTACTATAAAACAGATCACTGTTTAAAGGTTTTTACTTTGTGTGTTCTATCAGTAACACAGTAACATGATAACAGTGTGTAGTGGGTTTCAACTTGTTTATACAAATAGTTTTGAATGAATGTGGTATAATCTCATGCAAACACAGAGTAGGTAAATCATTCTCGTCTATAACATAAACAAACTTTAGCTCATTCTCCATAAAACTGAGTCAGGGTAAGGTGTGTGGCAGGGTTGTGTGTTTTCTGTGGTGCATTATGTTGGCTCCAGATGTTAACCTGTTATAAATGAACATCCAGTGGTTTTTGCCTGAATGCCTCATGAACATTTGTCCAGTGTTACACAAGATATTTTGCTAATAGACAGAGTCGACTGTAAATACTGAAAGGCAATATTTTAAACAAAAGATCTTGTACAATCTGTTAACTCAGAATGTTTTGCAGATCAATCTGAGCTAGAAGCACACCAAACGTTCATATCTGTAGAATTTCATGTCAATCTTTCTGTTAAAGTGAGTTTGCTGTGGCGGCCATGTTGAAGCATGTTGACTCCAAAAATGAATCATGCAACAACTACATTCTGAATCCTGATAAACAACAGATAAACAAACACATGTACACACATACATGTACACACTGGAACAAAAACATTAACAGCATGTGATCTGAAGGAAATAAAAGAAATGTGGAAAATCTTCCAAACGTTTGAAAGAACATTGGGCCTCATGCAAGAACATGTTCGTATTCTTCTCCTAAATTTCTCTTACTTTTGTTCGTACAAAGGGTTCGTACGAACATGTCACGTCAGATTCAACAAACTCTTCTATCTTCAGGAAAAGTGTGTAAATGAGCTGCGTAAATTCCACCTGTTCGTATCCAGCTGCTCGTGCACACGAGAGGAGATTAGCATAATTACCACCCCAAAAACACCATATAAGGCTGTGTTTCCTGCCTCAGATATCAGGAAGTGTCCATTCATGAATGACATCCAAAGTAAAAAAATAAAACTTTACGAGTTTGGAGGTTGAAGTCCTGCTCTCTGAGATCGAGAAAAAAAGTAATTTTTAGCCGAGGAATGAAATGATGACTGGTGTTAATGTCGTGTCTCCTGTGGGTCACAGAAATAAAAATCTAAATCATATTTATCTCTCTGTAGTTCTGCTCTGGTTTTTCTTTGATCATTTTTTTAAATTTAAGTGTAAACAACTGTATTATACACTGTAATAAATGAAATGTTGTATTTACTTAACCATGTTATGTGACCTGGTTCCACTTAACTGAGTTGAGTAAATTCAAAGCAATATACCAGTTTTTTAGCCAAAGATCATGAGTATGTTGCTTTGAATTTACTCAACTCATTTAAGTGGAACCAGGTCACATAACACGGTTAAGTAAATACAACATTTCATTTTTAGAGTGTAGGTTTCATTTATTCAGAGGGGCAGCCACACACTGCTACACCCCCCCCCCACCCCTGACTGTCTCCCCCCTCCCGACCGTCACATGTGTCAGATGTGTTTCTGAAAACAAGCATTTTAAAATGTCTGCAAACTTCATTTAATGCTTAATTGAAGTTGTTTTTTAGTTTGTGATCTTCATATTAATATTTCAGTGTTACACAACAACATTAAAAGAAAATTTAATTTAATCTAACCAATTTATGCTGTTAGTTACATTTAAAATCCAATTCCAGTTCAAGCAGAATAGCCTATTGTCAACATAATTATGGAGTGTGATTTATTTTCAACTCAAAATATCTTCAAACTAATGAAATATAAAGTTATTAGTGAAGAAAACCTGTCTGGATAACAGCAGACTGACTGCTGGTAAAATATACGACAGGTCTGGACCACTCGTAAATTTTGTTCGTATCTGAAAAAAATCTTAGAATACGAAAACATTGGTGAATGTCACAAATTCTCCTAAATCACTTGTACGCACAACTTAAGAACAAATCTGTGCGTACGAACGGTTCTTGCATGAGGTCCAATGAGTTGACAGCCAGTTTAATGCATTCATTAAAGTATTAGACAGGTCTCAGACAGTCAGAATAATGAATTTCCCTCTCTCAGGGCTCAACAGCCTTCATACCATTGATAGGCCAGAGTTCTACCAGAGTTTGTGCAAATTTCTGCTAGGCCACTCAAATCTTTTGGCAACCCAATTTTGTTTTTCTGTCAATCCCATAAAACCACCTTTCCCAGCCATTTGTCTGCAGATCTCACCTTATACTCCACACACACAGTTTGCAGCCAACTTTTTGTATTATGCAACATAAAAAGCTAATTTTGTGAATGGTCAGCACTTCATCTAGTTTGTCAGGACCAAATATGGGCTTGTTTTTAACTTCAGCATCAGGCAGAACTTCCTGGACTGAAGATAGGGGGAAATGACTTATTGGCTTGAAAAGAGTAATTACCCTGAACTGCATGAACCTGATGTCACTTTATGCTTAGAAGGATATTTTTTATAGGAGACTTTTTAAAAAAGCAGTTTGTAAAGTAGAAAAAGTAGACCCTCTTTTGAGTCATCATAAAATTAACTGCAATAAAAAAAACACAGGTGAGTACAGAAAAATAACTTGGAGTTACAGATCTCTAAAAATGAACCCTGAGGCGACGCTGTGCTCCAGTTTTAGTGACGACTGGACCAAGCTAAAATGTGTAGCGCTAAAGGGGGCAGCTTTCTTATTTGTCATGTGTTTTCTTAATGCAAATAAACTCCATTGAAATAACAGAAACAGAAAATAAATATCGAACGATTGATTGATCGTGTTTTTTTTTTTTTTTTTTTTNATATAAAGTTATTAGTGAAGAAAACCCGTCTGGATAACAGCAGACTGACTGCTGGTAAAATATACGACAGGTCTGGACCACTCCTGAATTTTGTTCGTATCTGAAAAAAATCTTAGAATATGAAAACATTGGTGAATGTCACAAATTCTGCTAAATCACTCGTACGCACAACTGAAGAACAAATCTGTGCGTACGAATGGTTCTTGCATGAGACCCACTGAGTTCTGTGTAGCTGTAAGAATAATAAAGAAAAATGGTTTGAAAAAATAAAGAATTAAAAACATCAGAGAAGCTGAGCTGAGTCAGCTGAAAACAGCTTCAGGCCACAACGTCTCAGCCTGACGTCCTCAGCTCCTCTCAGCTTCTCTCTTTATTTCATGTATTTGTCTTACAGTAAGTCTTCTCATTATTTCTGCTGCTGTTTCCCTCACAGTGGCACAGACCCAAGCTCTTTTCATTCAGACATGTTCAAATAAAGCCTCCCCATCACCACCATGAGGCCTGTGACCTGTCTGCTGAACCTTTCCTCCTGTCTCTGAGGTGTAATGAAAGGTGTTCTGTACGGGAAATTAAAGATATTTAAATCACATTATCTCCACTGACTAAAGGAGACTGTGCAGGAATGCACAGCTGAGTTGTTGCTTTGTTTAATAAATTGTAGAAATGATTTTAAACACTGGGTTTGAAGGACTTTGATTCAACTGTTAGTATTCAGTATTCACAATATTGTTTTTTTTTTTCAAATGTTTGCAATTTTCCTTCTTGTACTATTACATACATTGTACTATTTTTGCCTTTTATAAATCAACACATTTCAGTGTTTCAGGAGATGGGTGCTATGACTTTTGATTTTGTAACTTTTACACTACTATTTTATACTTTTATACTACTTTACTAGTAAACTTAACTTTATTTACAAATAGTTACACCATAAAAAAATCTGTTCAGATTTCTTCAATTCCTTGTTTCAGCATACTTTTACTACTTTTTAATGTTATTATTAACTTTAAACTATCAATGTGAAAATTTTAGCTACTATTCTGCTATTTGAGCATGTTTGGCTACTTTTAGCTCACCCCTTTTAATTAGTATTTATAGTATTTGGTTAGTATTTTGCTACATTTACCTTTTAGCTAGACTTTGACTACATTTAGCATTGAGCTTGTGTTTTGCTATTTTTATCATTTATCTAGTGTGTTATTAGATTTAGGTAGAGTTTTGCAGCTTTTACTTTGTATTCTGTTTATCCTTTTAGATTTAACGTATCAGTTTTACCTTTTTTATTAAATCTGTAGCAAAGTTATTTGGTGCTCAACATTCACACAGTGTTTTAGCAGAAAATGAAATTTCTACTGTTTCATTCAAGGAAGTGTTTAACAGTTAATGTAAGTCAAAACTACATAATGCCTTTGTAAATAAATACATGAATGTGTTTTTTAACTAATAACTGATGCTAAATATAAAAACATGAACTTCAACATAGGATCATTTCTTTTACTCTAACAATACTTAACATTTCAGTAGTTAATATGAACTGCAAACAGCAAATGTGTGGGTTTGTTTAAACATTTTACTAAGTTTTTCAGTTTTAAAGTTCCACAAGTTATTTATTTTAGCCAAATGTAAATCTGGAGGTATCATAGTAAGATCTCTGAGACTTCAGAGATCTTTGAATACAGTAATGCAAAACTTTTTTTAATTCATTTTTTTATTTGTAAAAATTCACCCAACAAAAAACAAAACAAAAAAATCATGCAATCAAAATAAAATCAAAATAAAATTAAAGGCAGCAGAAGAAGAATAAATCTTATTATATCTGCCCCTTTTTTTATACCCAAAATATGTTCAAAATAAAAGTAAATTACAACGAAAATCTAAACAACTAAAAACACACAAAAAACTAAAAACAAAGCTAAATTTAAAACAACAACTCAAAACAACAATTAGCATTAATTCACTTATGTTTCTCCATATTTCTTCAGAATACTAGATTTTATCATTCTCTTTAATAAATACAAGGACCTGGCATTTTAACCTCATCTTCCAGACCGTTCCATAATCTTATTCCCTGGATTAAAGTGGATCGCCTGTTAGTTATTTTCTTTAAACTGTGTTTTGTTATATGAATTGTACAGTATACATTGTTCTGTTTTGTGCTTACTTGTAGGACAAGGGATGAAATTTATCTACTCTGCTAACTCTCGTATATTTACACTGCCATGTTTTGTGGTAATGTTGATTAATGTGCACTGTCCTAATAAATAAATAAATGAATAAAATGAAATGGAAAAACATTTTGATTCCATTAAGATAATAACAGCTCTGTCTTTTAACAAAATTTACCTGAATGTTTGAAGGTAACACACCTTTATGAGCTCTGTACATTAACAGCAAAATATTATAATTGATCAAATCATATAATTTTAATAATTTCAATTTATGAAACAATATATTAGCTGGATGGCTGTAATTTTTTTAGTGATAATTTTTACAGTAAATGAAATGTGGAACAATTATAGTGTTATACAACATAAACAGTGATTTATCATTGAACATTTCTCTTACTTTGTACAGGACTCCAATAGATTTGGCTTTTTTTGTTCTTAAATTAAAACTTGTACCTGTTATGTCTCATTACAGGCACAAATGTTGTATATAAATGTACCATGTGTTCTGCCATTTTATGTGACAGATCTTCACACAGTAAAGCAAAGTTACGAAGTAAAAGAAAAATAATACATAAATTTTAATGTTTTTCCATACTTTTTTAGTTTTCCACCTCTTGGAGTCAAAACTTTTACAAAATTCCACAATTCATTTTTTAAACAAAAATACTTTCATTTTATGGTTATACAACACTTTTGCCCTTAGGTTGCCTAAATGGATTTCAGTCCAGATTTCATAGTTTGGGAAGGCGACATAAAACAGCTTTTAAAACAACTGATGAGAGAAAAAAGGTTAGTTACCTGACTGAGAATGGTCCCCACTGCATTTGTCCTCCATGTTCAACCTGTGGATCTGACAGACAGAGAGAAGGAAAAGATTATATGTAAAAAGTGTGTAACTGGGATTTATATATTCAGCCTTAGTTTCTGCTCTTTGATAGAATTATACCAGCAGGAGTACTTTGCTTAAAGTACCTTCATAGTTTATACTGTTGTGGACAGTTGTACATCTTTCAGAAATATCTACTGTACTGAGAAAATATGACTGTGTTCAAGTTTTCATATCTAAATAGCTACATGTTTTAGCAGCAAAATCTTGGTAGGGAAGTCAGTTCAGATAATTTATATGATACAAATTCAAAACGAAAGTCATTCTCTGCAGGGTGTTGTGCAAAAATACAAACCTCTCCAGTTTATATCTCATTACACAGAATTACATGTAAAAGATGTGCAGAGATTTAATGTTGTCAGAATGACTCACATCATTTTTATTGACTTCAAAGATTTTCCAAAGAGTTTTAATGTAAACTGGTGCTGAAACTTGACTGCCATTCTGTTTAAAGTTCATTGGGTAAAATAAAAAGCAGCACTTTTTTCAGCCAACATGAGTTTGATGCCAGATTTTTACTTTTTCTTCCAAGAAAAAATAGAAGAAGGACCTAAAATGTTGGTTGAACCAATTTTGTGGGGCCCCCATGTCAGTTGGATGTGTTCTGGCCTGTGAGGGATTTCCAACTGAACTGAGGTGTGAAGGGGGCTTGAAGCCAACCCAATGCAGTGGCACTTTGGAGCCAGAAAGCGAGGTAGAAACAGAGCTGTAACAGTCAACATGTGAAAAGGTAAGCTGGTTTTGATGTAATGATAACGTACTGTATGAACACTCCACCACAGGATTTGAAAGGCTAAACAACAAACATTATTTTAAAAGTAGAAGACTGATGATGACACAATTCAAACTTTCCTTTAGTTTAAAAAAATAAAAACAAAGAGGATTGTTAAACTTAATAGTTATGAGTTAATTTTTCATGTTTTGAAAATGATGTAAGGGAGTCCTACTGTGGTAGTTGTATTGAAGCACTTCTGACAGAACTGATGAAATCACTTATCTTGGATTATGCTTTTTTATTATTATTTAAGTGTTTCAATTTGAATAAAAATATATTTATTAGGCCTTATGAAATTCAAGCTGCTAAAAAAGACAAAGGTGAAGAAACAAAGTACTAACAGGACAGTGTTTTTCTTAGGATTTCATATTTTTTCTCTTTTTTGAGCTAAAATTCGAATGTGCTCCTGCATTCTGCTATAAACCCAATCTGTCAGAACTGTGGGCCATCTTTTGGAAAGCAGATTGTCCAAAAGGAACTGAAAAAGTATCTTGTGTTATGAAAGCTGTAAGGCTGCAGGTATCAGGATGGAGAGGTAATTTATTTTCAAACTTTATTCATTTCTTAAAAACAAAATTCTATGTACAATAAAAAGAAAAGAAAATTCAAATACAACTAGACATGGGTTTTTACGATGTAAAAACAAGTGTGCATTGCCATGTAGCATGTCATTACAGCATGGCTTTGCCTGCAGCAGTGGACTTGCAGAATGAACTTTGACCAAGTTCAAATGTGTTTTCTAAACCAGTTTGTAACTGTCAAGTCAGCAGGTGTTTGTAATTAAGGTAATTGTGTAACAATATGAAGTTTGTAGTGATTTTTGTTAAAGTTGCTGTAGCTGGGTTCTGAACCCAGATCTCCCACATGAAAGCCCATAGAGTTAACCAGGAGACCAGTGGAGCTGTGGCAGATGGTACTACCAAGGGTTGGTTTGTATGTGTGTAGAAAGAGGCCACATTGCCAATGCAGTTGTTGACACAGAACTGCATAATATTACAATAGAGTAATATTAGTACAAGATTTTAGTAAAACATCAAAATACAATCATATTAGTATTGTAATCACTGAACTACTGAGTTTAAATATTATTAGACTATGGTTCAGTACTGAGTATATACAGCAAGGGGCAGTATTGGACCAATACAAGGCTCCATTGACTGGCATTGTATGACTTTAAACATTAATATTTAAAAACCATAAGTTTTACAGGCACCAAAAGGCATAGCCATCATTTGGCACGGGAGCTTTACAGATATAAATTAGAATGGCAGCTGTAGGACAAAGTATGCAGGAGGAGAAGCATGGCAAAGTGGAGATGACTTGGATGGGAAACAAATCACAATAGCAATGCACACTGATGAAATGGAAGGCAGCAGAGAGAAGAAAAAAATCTTATAATATCTGCCTCTTTTAATTTTTGGTAAACTGAGCTTAACTCAATCTGCCTATAAAGTGTGGCACCAGCCAGTTTTATGAACAAGTCCTCCATATGAAGCAGAGGTAACGGTTCATTATCATATTTTTATTAGAGACTTCTTGAAGACACTACCAACTACCAAATTTTATTAACTTTATTTATCATAATGTTATGGATAATCAACATGTTTTTATATTCTTACTGCTTGGAGTTCATATCAAATCATTTTTCTAAAACAGGTTTAATTGTGTATAAAAATATAGTTAACCAACAACTACAAGTTTAACCAAGATTCACAAAAATGATATATTTCCAGAGTAATCGCAGGAAAAATAGTCCGTTTGGTGCTTCATAACTACATTCAGTATGATAGGGTACTTTAAAAGTTGTAGGACATTTGTAGGTGAAAGTGTGTATTGTACATTGTGTTAGTCACACCAAGGTGCTCCAGTTATGGTTGTGAAAAGCCTCTAATCTGCTCATCAGTGGTGGGCACCAGTCCGTCCACTAAAGCGCACATCCGTTAATTGCGAACCTAAATATTTTATTTGCGCCTTAGCAGTCTTACTAATTTTTATAATTCATAAGCAGGTTTGTGCTTTCTAAAATTAAAATGCAGTACTGCTATAATTAATTATCAGCAAGTATTCATCACCTTGAACAGCCGAAGGTACAGCTTTTTATTTAAACAGCTGTGGAACATCAACTGGTTTCATAGTACAGATATTTTTTTAAGGATTGAGTTATTTTTTTCAACAGCAGGGAGAGCTTGGTGTCAGAGACCAACACCATGAGGAATCACAACGTTTGAACAGCACCCTCTGTGGTTTATAGAGAAATAACTCAGGGCTTTATCCTGTGATTAACTGTTCTGAGTGACGGTTCTGAAATTGTATATTTATATATATTTTGTTTGTGTGTGTGTGTATATATGTTGTGTATATTTTTGTTTTTAATGTGTATAAAATTTTTGGTTTTAAATGAAAAGAAAAAAAAACAATGGAAACTAAAGTAAAAATGAAGACACGCCTCCCACAATGCTTTGCGTGGTATGATGCATCGCCCTTCTGCAGCGGCGGCCTGCTGTGGTTGGTTTCACCTGCTGTGAGAATGTGCAGCAGACACACAAAGTCTTTCAGTCGACAGTTTTAACTCACAAAGTCATGAATCTGAGCTGAATCCACAGAAATATGACTCTGTTGTGTTTTCTGGATGTAAGGAGGAGCGTCTGCGCTGTGAGTTCCTGCTGCGGTGTGGGACTGGGAACAGCTGATCCATGCGCACAACTTTACGCAGCAAATATTGTGTGTTGTGGGGCGGGGGGTCGTCGCAGCTGATCTGAATGAGAAACTTCATGATTCTAAAATATAAATCCCACCGCGGCAGAAACTCACAGCGCTGCGACACGTTCCTTCACTTCAACTATTTAATAAATATTTTTCTAAGTTCAACCAAAGTCAGTTTCTGTGTGTTTACACTCATTTATTAAAGACCTGTAAAAGTGCACCGCTGCAGCACATGCACGCACACACCAACACACACACACCTTTGAGTGGCAAACAAATTTTTACACCCGACAATTTTCTCACTCATTCATTTCCATTTAATGTATAAATTTCCTGCATCTAAAAATCATTTCTGATTCCACAGAGGACAATCTGAGCAGCAGAATATCACGCTGGACACATTTACATGTATTTTTCATTTCCCGTCACAGTTGTACCCAGAATGCATCACTTCAGTTTTCCAATAAACAGTTTTAAAATTATTTTATTGATGCGCATCTTTAATGAAAAATCTACAATAAATACAAGAAAAAGACAAAGAAGCAGCAACCGAACTAGCAATCTCCAACATGTTTTAAAGAAGCACCACTAATCAATCCTCATAAATTGTTTAATTTTGACACCATGAGCGAAATGTCTGTTACAGGAAATCATATCAACAATTGGCAGTTGTAGAATTAATTTGTAAAGGAGTTGATACACCACTAAATGGCAGTGTAGTGTGTATAAAATGCATGACTTATTGCCAGCAACTGGTGTCAAATTGATGTGAGGAATGAAATTAGCTTCTGCTAATTTTTCTACTACATGTGCACTTTTGACGTTGTTGAACTAAACAGATTCTTTAAAAATTGCGGCGCCAATTTTTTTATTAGCGGTGTCCTCCACTGCTGTTTACATAGGATTAATCTGAACCAGTGACTCACACTGCTGGCAGATCGATGTGACTGTATGTAATAACCAGTGTACTTAGTAACATAACAAACTGTATGTTCAGCAAGCTTCGTGTGTAAAATGAAGGTCATGTTTTGTTGAAAAGACTCTCTTCTCAGTTATAGACATGTTGGTCAAACATTAAGTGATTTATGCAATCTTGTGTGTTACTGAAAGATCTTACCAGATCTGTTAGCTTTCAGAGTATGCCTTAAAAATGACTCTCAGCTACTACAATACAAAGTTTAGCTCAATATCTGTCAGTTGTGAATGTGTTTTAGAGCTCTTTTTAGACTTTTAAATTTTTTTTAGACTTTTTAAACTTTTGGACCTCGAGGCCCAATTTGTTGACCATAAAGTGACACGAGGCCCAGTCAGACATTACACACACACACACACACACACACACACACACAC